TGGGGTTCTGGGAAGGACGGAGTTTCAGAGATTTTGCTGTGTGCTCTCTGAGGCAGCTGGATGAGGTAACTAGAGAAACCACAAAGTGAACAAAATAGTTTGAAGAATACTTTCTGAACAGCCGTTGAGCATGTGATGCCTATGTTACACTTCTATTACCAGTTTCTATTTGTAGTGAAGATCTGATATCAATAAATTATACTGTGTAACAAGTTTTACAAATGTAAATCATGGTGACAATACTAGTCTTCAAATGTGTGTAAAGATATCATTTAGTTATGGATACATTGGTGCAGTAGGGTAAGAATCCCTTTCTCTGCTGATGGCAGATTCCTCCATGTGCAGTCTGCCGCCTTGCAAAGTCCTTCGCATAAAAAGTTAGTTTGCAAGACCATATGGTTTTGGATATGCCTGTCCATATTAATTATATCACCTTTTTCAGATCCTTTTTTATCTTAAATTAAACATAATGGGGAGAATTGATCAAAACTGGAGCAGTTGCCCATGGCAACCAGTCAGCCTCTGTCCTCAGTTTGTACACTTAAAGCAGAAGTAAACCAATTCGATTTTTTTTGTTTTTGCCCTAATGTTCAAATATACGCACCATATTTACCTTAAAAGTGTGCCCTTCTCCAGTGCACTTAGCAGGGCCGTATTTCCCACAAGGCTCGGCCTCGGAGGAACAGGGAATACAAGGGCAGCAGGGGTGTGAAATTCCTATCTCCCGATGCCCAGGACATTCAGTTCTGGGCGCCGGGCGGTTAGTTGTTTTCTACATTTAGCCCTGCTTTAGGCAAGCAGAGCTAAATGTACAGTGGGGAAGCCGCCGCTTGTTTTGTGCAGGTGATCTCGGCCTGCAGGTCTGCCGTTCTCCATGGGAGGTTGGCAGGTAGGCGGGCGCATTGAGGAACCGGGCCTTGGAGCAGCAGAGAGAGTAAATCCGGCCCTGGCTCTTGGTTAAGTCTTCGGTCCACAGCACTGCTTCCAGGGCCGGATTTACTCCCCCTGCCGCCCCAAGGCCAGGTTCCACAATACGCCCACAATTTCTTCTTATTTTTGTTTATTTCATTTTTTAATCAATTAAATTTTTTTTCGTTTTTTATTTATCTTTTTACTTTTTATAATTTACTTTTGTATAGTTTTTATCTTATAGGTCGGGTCTCGGTGGCCTTGTGGGAAATCCGGGCCTGACTGCTTCCCGCTACTGCCATCTCCACCACCAACACTTTCGGGTTCTCTTTGGGCTCCTCTTTGGTCATTGGGTGGCCACTGATGATGTAAGGCCTGTGCACAGGAGTTACATCCTCCACAGCATCCTGCTGATTCATGGCGTCTTAGAGTGTGTAGAGTGCAAAGAAAATATTACAAATCGCTGGAAGAGAGAGGAAGACACTTTTTGGCAGAAGAGGTTCTGCATGTCTCTTCTGCCAAAAATCCCTACTGATGTTTTATTTTTTTCCCCCTTTACCTCCGCTTTAAAATGACATTAAAGTTAAAGATTTTTTTCCCCTATGTTAAAGCACTTGCCTTAAATTATGTTTCTTAATCCGATCTTCTTCATTCCTGTCGTTTTCATCTGTCCCTCCAGCGGTGCGGCGGGTCTCCGATCCAGCACTGACTCCTCTGTCCTTGCTGGCACTTCCTGTGCCATGCCATCCCATGGTGTCTGCATGCGGGTGCACGCGTCCATAGACTTACCTTGTGTCTCTCCTCGTCTGCCGGGCAAAATGTGAACTGCACATGCGCCCGCCCCAAGTTGCTTTGCGGCCGCCGGAGAATTTTCACATTTTCAGACGGGAGCGCGCGGGGAAGACACAGGTGAGTTTAAACCGCTTTTACAAATTTTTTTTTTCTCTACACTTTTTGCATATATCTACTGCTTGCTAGCAGTAGATATATGCAAAAACACCAGAGGGTTTAATAACCCTTTAAAGGGGTTCTCAACCCTCCGTTTTTTTTGCCTATGTCTACTGCTAGCAAGCAGTAGATATAGGCAAGAAGTTTTTAAAAAAAAAAACCCGCTTGAACTGGTTTTAAACTTACCTCGTTATCGCTGCTCGATCCCGCGCCGAGAATCAGGAAGTGATCGTACGGCCGCAAAGCATCTTGGGGCGGGCGCATGCGCACTTCCGATTCTCGGCCGGGAGACGAGCAGAGATGCAAGGTAAGTCTATGGACGCGTGCACCCGCCTGCAGACACCGCTGGATCGGAGAGACAGAGCAGACAGCGCTGGATCGGAGTGATGTCACACCACTGGAGTGACACATGAAAACATGGGGAAAGAAGAGGAAGATCAGAATAAGAGACATCATTTGAGGTAAGTGCTAACATTTACATGGGGGGAGGGGAATTTTTTTTGGCTTTAATGTCACTTTAAGCTTTGAAAATGAAAGAGAGAAGCTGATTCAGATTTTGTCTGCTCACTTTTTGATAAATTCTCCTAAATGAGACCTTCTACTTTTTAAGTATTTTGTCACCCACATTTGTACCTACCCTCAAAATTCTAACAATGCTACAGACTGTACCCCACTTTAAAGATGTGGCCTTACCAGTTACTCATACAAGACAATACTTTACTAGCGTAGCATGCCTTTATTTCCCTTTTTTAAGTGCTACTTTTCTTCCTCAGCATGTTATGGCTGACACCATTTGTCACAAAGCGGTTAAATATAATGTATTTATCAAATGGGTGTGCTACAAGAGTAGTCAGAGAGAATGACATACATATTTCTGGTGTGCTCAGATCTAAAGATCTGCCCGTCCACCCTTTTGTTTCCAGCATGACAAAGAGGATAAACAGGCTTTGTCTTATTCCCTGATGACCAGAGTGACCAGTGATTTTTATAGGAACCATTCCAAGTCATGACTATCTGCGCTTCATGGATCTGATTTGTTCTTAAATGGGAACGACACATAAATTATAAGGGGTCTGATTTACTAAATGGTGAAATTTGATAAAGTACAGTGTAGAAACCTGTATTTGCTACCAACATCCAGGCATAGGCTTACATAGCTTTGTTTGTTTGTTTTTTAAATACAGATTTTATTAGGTATTTTCAAAAATGAGAAAAAAATGACACAACATGACCACATTTACACCAGTCCCTCTAGAAAAAGCTATAAATGCCACTATAGTACTTGGAATTCTTGTGGAATTCTGCCATTAGCTAGTCCATCTCTTTTTGATTCCAGGCTTTTTTTTTGGCAGATTTGGCAAGGCACCTTTGACTTAAGGTGCCCATACACCTTGTGATTATTGTTCGGAAATCGAACACGATTGGGTTTTCTAACGATAATTGGCCAGTTGATAGGAAGTGAACGATCGAATTACTGTACAACTGGCTGAATTTCCTTAATTGGTCAGGCTGTAAAACCTTTTTCAAATCGTACGAAAATCAATAGATTAGTGGCGTTTTCGTCATCGCAACATCAAATAGCAACACGAACACTGCACATGTGCAAACGAAAATCCGTTCTGTCGATCGACAAGATTCGGTCAGTTAGTATTGCTAACTAACGATAATCAAAATCCACACTGGTCTGTGCATGATGGGGTATTCGAGTGACGGTTCGATGAGGGCACGAAAGAAAGCGAACCTTTAATCCCAGAGTGCATGGGCACCTTTTAGAGGCATATTTATAAAACAGTGAATGTAAAGTTTACCAAGCGTTCAGTGGTGATGAATAACTTGCGGTATATTAACCCACATGCACCCCAAACATTCTGCTGCAGAATTTGATGAATGTCACATTCACTGCATTATAAATATGTCCCATCTGGGCAAAATTGCAAGCCAAAAATATGCATCCCCTGAGCCTCAGTGAGTGGCTGCTTAGGCATTCGTCGCTTAATTGTGGGGAGGCCATGTGGAGTGACATATATATTCCTCTACCATTCCACTCTGGTTATGATCCCTTCTGTATAATGAACCTGTTGTGTATTTTGAATGGTTAGAATTCAGGTTCACTCATCAAAGACTGCTGCACATGTAAGACATTTACACTCTTCTATCCCTTCTGTTTGGACCATTGCTTTATAGTTCTGTACCCATCAATAAGTGTGGGTCGTGCTGGTGAGAATGTGCACTGAATGGTTCACACAACCTGATCAAACTTTTTTTTTTGCAGGGTGAGCTACATTTAAAATTGCAATATGTCTAGAGTTATCACTTCTGGGAAAAAAGAATATAAAGTGAGCTGAAAAAAATGCTTCACAATTCTGTTTAATTTTTTTCTTCTGCATTAAAACACAAGAGCATGTCTCTGCTGAGCATACAATGCCAAAACCTTAATTTCAATATAAGTAAAAACCGAGGAGCAAATTGTCCAACCTAACCACAATATATTTTTCTCTCCATTGGCTTTTTAAAGTTACCTGTCGCAATCTGTTGTACCTTTTATACAATGTCTGATTTGATGCAAAGACACCATAATGACTCATAATTTCCTAATCTTCCTGTATTGGAAAGTGACATTTCTCTATTCTACACATGGTGAATGTCCTTGCTGACCTCTTCAGCTGGCTGGAAACCTTGATTGCTATTGTTAGTAAGATCATGATCAACAAACAGCTGATAGATCTTTTGCACTTACACCTGCATGCACATTGATATTCTACAAAATGAACAGCCCAGCAATCTTGATATTCTGATAGTTCTGCACTGAAAAACCAAGAAGGAAAAGTATTCATCAGAGAAAATCCAACCTGTCTTATCAAGGTTTCATCAGGTGGTTGTTTTCTGAGAGTACTTGTTGTGGGTATCCCTTCACTATGCGTTGCTCAATAACCATCGGAACCTGATATGCTTTCACTGACCTCTAATATCATTAAAAATAAGAGTAAATAAACCTAGTTATGCTTTGGTTGTATACTTGTTGTTTTTTAAATCATGTTCTGTCTTGGTATTTATGTTAATAATCCCATGTATGCTAATCATAACATACAAAAATTGGTGTTTTACTTTTCATTCCTTTAACATTTAATTTACTTTAATTTCAGGTATTTCAAGATCTGGGTACTACGGTACTCTCAGAGGCCATTACGGGATATAATGTGTGTTTATTTGCCTATGGACAGACTGGCTCAGGGAAAACATACACCATGATGGGAACTCCGGTGAGTTATGTCTAAGAATCCCCGGTCAATAATGTTATGAAAATGATTAGTTTTTACAGGTATTTTTCAGTCAAATAAAAAAATAAAGCACTGAATTATTGCACATAGCTTACCGCCTCAGAACACCAATATTTAAGCCAGGCTTTTCTTTAGAGCACCAGTCCACTGATCCTAGTGATCTGTGAACATGGTTTCTTCTGAAGCTGGAATTCTTTCTGCTGGCTCTCGCATATCCCAAGCCTGATGTATAAAATTACAATGCTAAGATGTTTCTTATAGCTACCAATCCGATTCAAAGGGCCCTTATTTCCCCAACACATTTATTACACACACACACACACACACACACACACAGCATTAAATCAGCCTATTCATTTTACAAGAGATGCCAACACACCCCAGCACACTGAAAACCAGACCTGACCATAATTGCATAAAACCATTCATAATTGCAAGCCAGCAGTTATTATAGTTGCACACATACAATATGGACAGTCAGCATCCACCGGGACTGCCCTTATCTGCCATATTTGGCCAGTTCTGTTGATGATGTAATGCGCCGTAGCTGTGAATAAGTCTCTGGTGGTCTCATCTTCAGGGTTATGGGAAATTTGCTGCATACCTGTACGCATGCCAGCTCATGCAAACTGGCATTAGAATATTAATCCAGAGATGCCCACATATTTACTTTATTCTAGAAGGTTCTAAACCAAGTGTTCTCTATGCAGATATCGACATCAACTACTATTCAGACCCTCCTCTTACCTTACACTGGGGTCTATAGGCCATTGAGTCCACTTGTCACATAGATGAACTAATAGAGAGCTGTGGGAGAGGTTAATGATCCCTCATAGTAAATTATCTCTTGATGTTAATATTTGCATATTGGATCTTCAAAATCAGGAGCTTTCTAGAAGATGAAGTGGGAAGTGTGCAGACATCTCTCGGTGTTAGTTTATATAGGCTGAATTGAGTTCAGATTTTAGTCTCAAATACTATTTCTAGTCTTTGTATTTTTTATTTCCATTCCCTCCTGTTTTCACAGACGTCTGTTGGATTAACACCCCGTATTTGTGAGGTAAATTACTTTTTTAATATTTACCAACCTATATTTCTGTTATATTCTGTCTAAATATCTATCATCTCAAGCATTTGTCAGGTGGGTGGCATGAGCTCCTGTCTGCAGCTTAGCATTCATTTATTGGGAAATGTTTCTATGATGGATAATTTGTGGTGCACAGTAATATGTTTTCCTTTCCAAGGGTCTGTTCTGCTATAATGCTGACTCCCTAGGTGCCCCATCATCATGCCGGATAGAAGTGAGGTAAGAAGTAGTCAATATGTACGGACCACGCTCCCAGCATCTGTCCCACATCATTTAATAGCTTCACGTCTGTGGCTTGCTTTGTAATACTTTAATGTATTTATTTAAGCTTTCTAGAAATTTATAATGAGCGTGTCCGGGACTTGTTACATCAAGCAGACCAGAAGAAACCTTACACTTTGCGGGTTCGAGAACACCCAGAAAAAGGGCCATATGTACAAGGTATGCAAAATGACACGCATGTTTCAACTTGATTTGTGAAAGTGGCTGAAATAAAAGTTGTCTGCATTCACTAATAGTTGCCAGTCAGATTCACACCTGTCCTGGAAAATGACAGAATGTGAAAGTTTTATCCTGGTTTCAGTGTGGTAACAGACAGTATAACGAGACCTGCTTTATATGTTGCTTTTAAACCCTCTATCTTTCTTTTACTGAAATAGTGGAAACATATCCTACACACTACAAAAAATTATATCTTCCCTTGTTCCCAAAAGAAGTAACTCTGGGTAAAAAATGTATTAACCTTTGCAGTGTGGCAACCCCTGCGAGACGAGTGGGGAATCCCTGCGGGGAGCGGTGACTGACTGTCACGGCTCTCTGCAGGTAGATGATCAAGAAGTGAGCGAGCAAGTTGTACTCACTTGATCCTCAAAGCCGGCTTGTTCTTAGACCGGTCCCTGGAGCCTCTCACCCCCTCCACGGCAATAGTCTAAGGTTCCTAAGTCACTCAGTGTATAGGAACTGAGGATGCTGAGGGACATGCCATCGTTGCAGTGTAGGAGGAGACAGGCAGGAGGGAGCACTGCCACAGCCGGCTGGCTCGGAGGATCAGGGGAGTATAACTTTGTTATTTTTGGCCCTAGGCAAAAATGAGCACTAAACGCTTGCAGTGCGGGGATAGCCACACTGCAAGGGTTAATACAATGTTTGCCCAGAGTTCTTCATGAAGGAGCTTATAATACAGTGTGCTTATCATGATCACGCAAATAAAGACCAACTTTGTCAAATTCCATGTTCTCTCTTCTTTCTCCAGAGGTAATTCTTATGTTCCTCCTGCTTATGTTCATTACACATTCTCCTAATTGTTCCAGTGTGTCCTCCCTGCTTGTTTCTTCCTTCTATGAGGACATCCGGGCTCCCCAGTATTCATGGGAAATTTTGGTACTTCTTTTCCACAGCAGCTGTTGCAATTTTTACAGTATGCCAAGCTGTACATTCACATCAACCCCTACTTCATGCAACTTTTAATGTAAGGTCCCTATCTCATATGTATACACACTCACACATACTAGGGCCAGTTTAAATTGGATCCAATTAACCTTCTCACTTGTCTTTGGAGTGTGGAAAGAAACTTATGTAAGCACATGGAGAGCATGCCAAGTCCATGCACTGATCTGGCCAGGCTCCAAACCATGGACTCCAGTGCTCCAAGGCAGAAGTGTTGATCTCAATGCCACTGTGCTACCCCAAATTATGAATTTAATTATATGAAAACATTTTAACTTACCTACTGATATAGAATGACGTTTAAACCTCTTCTTATATATAAAAGTGCTGTGTTCAACATTCAAATGGAGTAAATACATTTACTAAAATGACAAGAAGTTGGAAATCTCAGTGTATGCTTAGTGACGTACTGACCCCTTGTGGTAAAAACTCATAATGCACTTACATTGCTTGTGACCTTGCCTGAACTCTGAAAATCTAGTACGTTTTACAAATATCATGTAAGGTTTTACAAATATTTGCTGTAATCTGTTGTTTTCAGACCATTCTACAATGTTTGTTTTTAAAGCTCCGCACCAGCATAAAACTATACTTTTAGTTTAGCCTAGGGTGAAGAAGGTTTATTTATTGCTATATGGGAGCTCTCTGGGGAGATTTACCTTTTCTTGTTGTACCTATGACACCAGAACGTGAAATGTAGGAAGTAGATGTCACTAGGGCAGGAAGACGGAGTCATGCAAGCCTAATAGACGTCTCTTACTCTACTAAATAGAAGTGTTTTCTTTGCTTTATCTGTCCTCCCTGGAGAACTGTCCCCTCATTTCCGGTCCTGTGTCACCAGAACAAAGAATGAGAGGAAATGTTTCTAATACGGACCCAGTAGCAATAAAAAAAAAAAATCATTCAGAGGTTCTAAAAAAAGTTAAGTTGGAGGTTGGCCTTAAAACAAAATTCACTTCAATGTTTTCAAATTTAGAACAGTCTTAATCTGGCCATACACCACTAGCATTTATTCATCAACATATTTCATATGAACAGTCATACAAAAATCTATCATTATTATATAATTATATTATTATATTATATATATCTATCAGTATTAGTTCTATGGGTGGGACATTTATCAAAACTGGAGCAGACAGAATCTGAAACAATTGCCCATGGCAACCAATCAGCTTCTCTCTTCAGTTTGTTCAGTTAAGATTTTAAAATGAAAGAAAGAAGCTGATTGGTTGCCATGCACAGCTGCTCCAGATTTTCTCTGCTCCAGTTTTTGTAAATTCCCCTCAATGTGTTTTTTAATGAACTTATTTTACGTTGTTTTTATGATGCTTTATCTAATTAGTTGTATGTAATGATTAATTTTTTTAAATACAGGGTTATCCCAGCATGTAGTCACCAGTTATGAAGAAGTAGTAGCCTTGCTGGAGGAAGGAATGGAGAACAGGTACAGTGGTAATGTGTGGCATGTATGTCTGCCTTACTGTTTCAATGACATAAGCTGTACTTTTTCTTCATGCGCTTCATACTTCCATGTAATTTTTCTATGCTCACAGAGTGCTGCTTCCCCTTAGTCCAGAGTCTCTTTCTGGCACTTCAATCACAGTAATAATTTAAAAATCATGACCCATTTTATAAAATCAAATCATTATTATGTATTATTTAATGAACTCCAGGCAAATTACAGATGAACCCCTGCGGTGGGGCTACCCCTGCACTGCAAGGGTTAAGTGCTCATTTTGGTCTAGGTTGTAAAATAAAAAATATATACTCAGCTATAAGGCCGTCGAGGGACATTCCGAAGCTGAAGTGGAGAAGGAAAGTGGCTGTGGGGACCGGTCTAGGAACCAGGTATGTCTACGGATCAGGTGGGTATATATTTTTTTTATTTTACACCCTCGACTAAAATGAAAACTTAACCCTTGCAGTGTGTCGGTAGCCACAGGAGTTAATTTGCCATTTGCCGGAGTTCTTCTTTAATGTGTATTACATACAGGGGTAATAAAGAATTATTTTGTTCCTTATTTTACATTTGCTTCAAAAATTTAGGTGAATAGATGCTTTTCACTAGGCAGTAGAGGACACCTTATGGTGCGTCATGAAAGCAGATTTTTAATGCGGTGTTTACTGTATAGTCATTTTTGATAAGGAAGTGCTGTTACTGGCAGGATGTTCAGGTAAGAACCTTTGCAGTGGAGTAACAAAAAAGGCATTAGCTTTAGAAAACTGTGTAGAGTGGGACATAGTGCCAGCCATACTGAGACATTGATTTTAGGTTTACATGCTTTTAAGTGTGCATGTCTGTGTTCCTATCGCTCGCCCCAACACTTTCTCTATCACTTTCAGTGAAGATGGGAAGATGATTATTGCAAAGAATACACTTTGTGGGTTTTTCTCTTCCTTCAAACGCTCATCTTCAAACGCTCATTTCTCTTCCATTGCTCATCTTTTATTTCTTGCTTAATCCAAGAGGAGAGCCTTTTAATGAATACATTGGCTCATGACTAATACCATTAGTCAGGCAGCATTTTCTTACTTACATTCAATCAATCAGTGTTTTGTCTGAATTTGCAGGATTACAGCAGCTACTCATATCCATGATGCCAGCAGTCGGTCCCATGCTATTTTCACCATCCAGTATACTCAGGTCAGTTAATTCTATTAACCATTTTTTTACTTGCTTGATGATAAAAAAAAGTCCTTTCCCTTCTATAGGCATAGACCTGAGAGTGCCTAATGGTAAATCCAGCATGTTTGTAATACATCAGTATTCCTGATATAGAAATCCTTATGAGCATATTGAGCTATATTACATTGTAGCCATTTTAGCATTTTTTTTTCTCCTGGAGATATTGAGATGGCAGTCTGCTAAATTGCATGATTGGTCTCAGTGTTGTAATCTGAAAAGTTCCCACTGACATCCCAACAGATATTCTGCACCTTTTTAATTCTCTCAGCCCGGCCAGGTCACTATCTGCAATGAGTTTGCATGTTCTCCCTGTGCTTGATAGCTTTGGAATTAATCACTCGCTAGATATTTAGGTTGTTTTTCACACTTTTGAATAATTGAATAATCACATGTTTATGTGCCATTCAAATTTGTTGTTTTGACTCAGCATATACTGTAAATGTTTTAACTGGTGCAAAAGAAAATTGACCAATATAGGTAAAAATATGTTAATTTCTTTTTCTGAGCAATGCCCCTTCAGTTACAAGGGAGATCCATTCTGTTTTATACTAAAATATTGATTTTTTTTTTTTCTGAGTGAATATAGCTATCATTATAATATCTGTGAATGCAACAGAGTACCTTATGGGAAATATACAGTATATCCTATCCTTCCATTCTGTGATAGACTCCTTGGTGACTGTGTCTGCAGATGGTGTTTTTAATAGCTTTCCTGGGGTTATAGCTCATATCCACTCTGCATCCTTCCTGTGTATCAGGGGGAAAAAAAGAGTACAGATGAAATAGTAATTTAACATGAAAAAGATCTTTGAGGAAATATAACTGGCAAACAATTGGTAAATTAGTAAACCTTAAACACTGCTCACATGAAACAAGAGCCCCTTCCTTCCAAGAATAAAGTCCTTTACCGCACATAGGTTGTAGCCCTCCTTGACCTTAGGGATTTTCATGCTCTCTTTACTGCTCAGTTAATTGCATTTGCACAGATTTTATATGCTCTCTGACCTTGATCATTAATAGCTGTTTGCGTATGCCCGCTCATGTTTTCTGTACACCTCCGGGGGTCGCTTCTTGTGTGTTGGGGGTCGCTTCTTGATAAAAAAAGGCCTTTACCTGTCTTAGTATGTACAAAAATAACCAAAGTTAATTTATTGACTCAGGCCATTTTTGAAGATAACTTGCCATCAGAAATAACAAGCAAAGTTAACCTGGTGGATTTAGCAGGCAGGTGAGTAATGATGCATTTTATAGTAAAATTGTTAACCTTTTTTGGCCATTTAAAAGGGGTTGTTTATTTTTATTGCCCCTTTTTTTTTTTTTTTTACAGAAAGAGCTTCTCCAAATTACTGCAAAGATCGTCTGACAGAAGGCTCCAACATCAACAGATCACTAGTGACGCTTGGCATTGTTATCTCTGCATTAGGTAAGTGATCTGTGATAGTAAAGTGTTATGACTAGGTTTAGTTTGGTGAATAAAAGAAGAAAGACTTGTGCGAGTACATATTTAATGCATGTCAAAGGATTCCCCAAGCACTCTGGCTAAATAGACGGCACAGCAGACAATGCTTACTTTTAGACACATTTTGTCTAATTAAAAATTAGAGGTAATAAATACATTTAGTAGAAAATCACTATACTTCCCTTTTAATGGTTTAAAAATGACAACATGGCAACATCCACCTTTTTATTTTGATATTGTACTCGTAACTCCTGTCTTATGTGATTATTAATAGCTAAGTAGTTGATTATATTCTGTTTGTTACAAAGTATCAATCTAGATCAGTTGAGAAAAGCCAGAATTTATTGGGCAGACTAATCAGCTATACCATTTTTATTTCCCTCTAACTTCAGCTCAGAATTCTCAGATGAGCAGTAGCTGCCAGAGCATCAACAGCATTATCAGCGACGGGGATAGTGGAATCCAAGGCAGCAGCCCATCTGGAAGTAGCATCAGCGGATCAAAGCGCCAGCCATTTGTACCCTACAGAGACTCCATCTTGACATGGCTTTTAAAGGACAGTCTTGGAGGCAACTCAAAAACAATCATGATTGCCAGTAAGGTTCTTATTCACTTAAAGACCAGATTGAAATGATGGTATAAAAACTTGTCCAGCTAAATGTCCCAAGCTCACCATATGTGAAAGTCAATATATTTCTAGTACTTGGGTTAGAAACACACTCTTTTACATATGCCTCAATCTTCCAGCCTGTAGTTTTTGTCTACAGATACATGGACCTCTCTGATTTTCACTGCATCATACAGATTCGTCCTTTTACAGAGCATCAAGCTCTTATACACAGGGCCGAAGTTCCCACAAGGTCAACCAAGGCCCGGCCTTGGGGCAGCATGGAGTAGTGGACGCAGCAGGGGTGTGTAATTCCTATGTCCCGATGCCCGGGACATGCAGTTGCTGGCACCGGGCGGGTAGTTGTATTCTACATTTAGCACTGCTTTGAGCAAGCAGAGCTAAATGTACAGCGGAGAAGCCGCCGTTTCGCGCATTGAGGAACCTGGCCTTGGGGCAGCAGAGTAAATCTGGCCCTGCTTATACATGCAGCCTTGCTGCCTATGGGGTTCTCATGGCTCTAATAGTTATATGGATGTGAAAGAAAAATCAGAACCTCTTTCTATCAGAACTATTCCTCCTCCATAACATTTCATTACTTGCAAATGTTAGAATATGCTCAAAGACAGGCATGTTACCTACACAATTCAAGTGATCTTATAATAAGACAGTCACAAAGAGTGAGTTAGTCTGGGAGTCTGATATAGAGATTAGCTAATTTGTATCCCTTTCAGCATCAGAAAGGAAACACATTTTTATAAGTTACATATATATATTTCGAGTCCATCCCGTAGAAATGCATCTGTCATAAGAATAATAGTGCAACACATTACACAGACTATAGTGGGTCTTGAAATATCATGTCTTTGAAAATACACTGTAACACTGTTATAGTTAAAGTTGTGGGGTTGATTTACTAAATGTTAACGGGCTGTTCACTTTGCAATGGAAATTTCCCCTTAGCTTATTGAATGAGATGAAACTCTGCTGACTTCTATCAACCAATCATGTACAAGCAAAAATACAGTTTTTTCCTTGCATGTGATTTGGGTATTCTTTGCAAAGTTAATTTTTACCACATTCACCAAGCTACGGGAAAGTTTCCCTGCAAAGTGATCAGCCTATTTGCCCTTACTAAATCAACCCCTGTGCATCCACCTCTCCATATCTGACACATCATACTTCTGTCTGTGCTGATTCCAGCTGTGTCTCCTGCAAGCAGCAGCTACAATGAGACCATGAGCACCTTGAGATATGCTTCTAATGCCAAAAACATCATCAACAAGCCTCGAGTGAATGAGGTAAGTGCGAGTCTTCTGAAATGTCTCAATAAAAATCTGAAGAGCTGTTGTGGGAATCATGTGGCCATTCAACTGTTAAAGAGCTGCAAGTCCGTGGCCATTGGGTCTTCTTGGGACATGGATCATTGAAGGACAGCCTATTGCTCCCATCTGACTTTATTCTGCTTACTGTTTCTTTTTTACAGCTTAATAATGCGCAGGCTATTTTATAAGCTATTTAATTGCCATGCAGCTATATTTTATTATAACATTTTTAAAACACCCTTTCTCTTTTCTGATCCTGCAGTCATCCTTGTTTTTCTGTTTATCTTTGCAGCAGGGCAATGGGCTATAGTCCGTAGTCATTTTGCTAGAATCCTCCTCCCTCTGCTTTTCTAATTTAATTCTAATTCACCACAGACTGTATTAAATACAAGCATATGCTTAGATCTGAAAGGAGTTGAAGGTCCCCACGGAGTTAAACTCAGTCTCTAATGAAACACTTTTCCTTAAGTTAGCCCTATTATGTGTACTACTTCGTTAGAAAGTTGTACTGTCTTGGGAGTTTAATCTTTCAAGAGCTTCTTGAACTTGTGCTAGCAAAGCAATGTTTTTCCTACAACATCAGTTTTGAGGATGTTTAGTTATATTAAATAGAGAGCTTCCCACTGCATACTTATTTTATAACATTTTAGCAGCTTCATAACTACAGCCTTTGTACAATATGTACCAAACCGGGTTCCACAGGGCTTTCTAATGAATCTTGCTAAGATTGCTTTATATGCAGTAGCTATTTTAGTTTCACCTAAGGTGATTTTCTTTCTTTTTTTTTTCTTCTTTTTTTGTCTTAAAACCACGGGGAAATAAATTGCAAGAAAAATTACTTTTATGCCTGTGCCTGGGTTTGGAATAGGACCTGTGACTGGAAATGGACTATTGTATTTGAAAAGGGTGTACAGTATCAGCGTAGGAAATAATGCCTTGTAAAATTATATTTATGCCCTTTATTTGGATTAACAGTATATTTGATGAGCTCTGCCTCAGGGAGGTCTTTTTATTTGTTTTTCTTGATTTGTATTTGATTACTTGAGTTATTTTCTCATAAAAGCTGGATTGATGAAAAACATGGATAAAAGAGTTATTCTTAAAGCGGACCTTCACCTCCTTTGACTAACAATCGTTTTGCATGCTGATATGAAATCATCTTAAATTCATGAGTTAAACAAACAAACATATTTTTCTTTTACTTACAATTTCTTTTTTCCCCACTTCCTGGTCCATGTTGGCACAAACTATGTAATTGTGCCCAAGCGTTGCATCCTAGGAAGGTTACATCAGCAGAGCATTGCTGGGAAATCCCATCTGTAATCTCATGAGATCTCAGGGAAAGGCATTTTCCTCCCCTGAGATGTTGTGCATGGTCACATGTCCTAGTCACATGTGCCAGAGTTCCAGGAAGTATAGGGAGATCTAGTAACCTGCCCTTAGTAAAAATGGCCACTGTGAGAAGCCTGGGAAAGAAAAGAGAAATAAGGTATGCAAAGAATACACAGCCTGCAATTATCTAGAAGTATCTGTTTCTAGATTGTCATTACTAAAGGTGACTTTGTCATTTTGAGGATATGGGTAAAGTTCCTCCTTAATTCCATATAACAATCCCTGTTTAGGGTATCACACAGTAAACAAATGTATCACATTCTGAAAATATCCGTAGCGTAAACATAACTCTAAGCACATAACCTCAAGCTAGCTTTGACTTAAAGTGTATTTCTACTTTTCCAGTCAGATTTGAGTAAACCCCTCTATATGTTTGTGTTCCTATCCACGCATCATATATAAATATATATATCTTTTTGTTTTACCTTTTTAGATGTATCTGATAAGCAGGCCTTTGGATAGACTGCAAGCTTTTCTGTACAATTTCAAAGTGACAGGAAACCACATAGAAAGACTAAGGACATCCCCCTCATTACTATACAATGCTTCTAGATCTTTAACCCTTTGTTATTACAGAGTGTTCAAACCTAGTATACATCTGATAATGAGATCTGACAGCACAGTACAGACGGGGTTAATTAGTGTAATTATTGCCTTCCCTAGCCCCCTTGCAATCCAGAGGAAGAATCAGTTTAGAGAAAAACATTTCTTTCAGAAAAGAGCAAGTGATACGTAAGCAGCATTTTCTTTTAAGTTATACTGTGTGAATAAGAACATATAACAAGTATAAAATAGGTGTTCTCTCACTTTGCAAAAGTGGAAATACCCTTTAACCCTTTCCCTATAGGTATTCATCAAGCCTACCCTTACCTTAAAGGAGAACTATGAGGTGAGTGAAAATCACTCATCCTCATAGTTCGAGCCGACGTGTGACAATGAAACTGTCACACTTCGGCTCAATAGATCTGGGATCCTGCAGGGATTCCCCCCCTCCCCGCTCCGATCCTCCAGCGCTGACTGGAGGAACAGACGGGGGAGGGGACGGATACAGCTGGATCTGCCTCTAGATAGAGCCAGCTGTCAACCACGCAGCTGGGTGGATCTTGACAATAATGTCGGGATCTGTCCCAGCTGCGGCGGCCTCAGTATACCGTGAGCTGTAGCTTGCGATATACTGAGCTTTGGGTCACGGGAGGATGCTAGTTTATGTCCTCCCGTGACCCTAAAGACAACTATGGGAAAAAACACTTACCCCATAGTTCTCTTTTAAGGGTACCTTAAAGTATACCGAAAGACAAAACTTTTTTTGATTTTGGATAGAGTAGGAAAGGGGTTTAACCTGTTGTCTTTTTTGTTTTGTTTTAGCATTTGTATCTCATTAGGAAGATTTGCCTTCACTTTTTGTCCTGCAGATTTCACTGGAAGTAAGAGAATATATTTCCAGTATGAGGTACCTTCTTGTCAAGGGAACAAGTGTCCACGTACATATATTTGAACTGTTCTACCTGCAAAGGTTGGGAATTCACTCACCTCTGCCACACAGTGGAGTCAGGAAGATGGCTCTCTTCCTAGATTACTGTTTCCTGCATCAATTCCCTACTCAAAATCTGTATTTTGGGGCATTGCTTTTCAACTTACGGTTAGGCAACATTGTAGAGGAAACACAAGGGCTGTGTTTACCAGTAATTCCCTATGAGGTGTGTTAAGTACAATTGCATAAAGACTTTCCAAGAGAACTTCCTTTAGTATCATTTCTTGCATATATGATTTGTTTTATTTTTGGGTGGCTTTGCTAAAAGTTGTAGCACATTGCTTTATTTCAAATAATTTTACATGAAGCTGTACAGCAACATTTGGTGATTTATACATTGATTATTTTCTCCAGGATACCAATGTTAAACTGATCCGAGAGCTAAGAGAAGAAATTAACAGACTGAAAGCTATGTTGAGGAACTTTGAAATGGTATGTTCCAGCAGCACTCCTGTAAAATATTGTACTTTCTTTCCACATCCTGTACAGCTTTCTTACTATTAGAGTTGTATTTTATGGTGATTTCTGATATTCTAGAACGGTAACTTGGGTAAAGGGGTCTAAAATACCCCTGGATTCAAAGGTCACACATGAATTTGTGTTTTTTAATTTACATTTCTTTCTTATCTTGAAGTCTTCATTGTAAAGAAAACCTTTCCTGGGAGACATATGAAGGCTGCCAATGCTGCATTTTCATTCCAGTAATGCTTATTACCTAGGTGCCAGGCTTCAACCCAAAATAAAAATTCAGATAGGCCTGACTTTTTCTCTCATTTTTCTGATACATATTCTTGATCATTGTCAGTGACTTGGAAGGTTTGAAGCTAGAGGATACCAGCTAGACAATTTGCTTGCCAAACTTGGAAAAAAAGAAAAAACCTTACCAGAACATGGAAAACATGTACATTTTTGGATGGTGGACCAAGCTTACCACTTTAGGGGCTATAAGTGTACACTTCAGTTAACATTTCAGAATGAAGCTTGACTGAAGTGCTGCATACAGGGATCATAGCTTAGATGCGACCATAGCCTACATGCTCCGTATTGAGCACTTCATCTAGACATTGCACCAGTTCATTGCAGCTTATCAGTAGTCTTGTGACCTGAGAACCCCTACCTGTGATACAGAATAGCTACTCTACTTTTTTTCCCCCGGCAATCAAACAAATTCAAACCTGTCTTGGCAGGTTGAATGTGGTTCATGCTATAGGAAGCAGATGGAGAAGATGGAATACCGAATGGTTTTATAGGGATACACCTCCTTTCATCCGGCAAGGTGCTCTATGTGCTGACAGATTACACAGAGCTTGGATTAATGGGAATCAGTCATAATACATATATGGAAGCTGTTGCTGACCTTTTTTTTTTTTTTTTTCTCTCTCT